AACCCTGGATTCGTAGCATTGTGGCAATATTAAAGACTGAATTTAGAAACTTCAAGTGAAGTTGTGCTTTATAGCCAGTGAAAGCAAATCAATGTATTCAGGGTTACCAAATTTAAAAAAGGCATTTAAAAAAAATCAACTAATCGGTTGTTTTAGATTTCTTACATTCGTACTTGGATTTTTTTCTCTTGGATTGATTTTGTTTTCTCTTGGATTGTAAGAAAAAGTGTTTATCGTCACAATTATATCACTATACACATAAGAAGTTTGTTTTATTTGCCCAATCCATTGTGATTATTTTTGATTCACTGGTGCACATCAAGCTCCCAAGTCAACCGACAGTTATAAAATAAAGCATGGTTATGACTAGGGTAGAAAAATATAAAATAAGTATTCCGTATTATTGCAATATAAAAAATAAATGCTGTAGAAGTGCGGTCATTAAGGTGTATGTCACGACTGAATCAGAATGACAGGGTGCGAAATTGTGTAATAAGAGAAAGTGTGATAACGTTGTGCCCAGGATTAAGAAAGAAATGCTTCGGTGGTTTAGTTATGTAGAAAGAATGAATGAGAAAAGAGTGACAAAGCAAATTTATGTTACAAAAGTGTATAGCAGATTCTGCAAGGGACACTATAGACGAAAGTTTATTGACCAACTTGGCAATATATTCAAGATGGGAGGGAGATCAAGGGTATTCTCTTCCGACGAGCATGTGAAAGAGAAGGAACAAAATTATTGCATACGTAAATTTCCTGGAACATGGCCGCAGGAGTCGAATGCGAGTCAGTTACGTGACACATCTATTTTGTATCAATAATTTATTATGTTTGGCTTACCTAGTTTCAACAAAACGGGAATAAAATGTGATTTTTCGTTAAATATTTATTTACACCTTTCTACTTTTTTTCTTTCTAAATATTTTATACCGTTAACGGTTTATCGGCGATTATCTATTTGTATTTTTAAATTACTTGATAAATTTTTAATAAGTTATATTGCAAGGATAAGTAATTATATTGTAAGGATAGTAGACTTAACTCAATCTGTAAGAAGCCGGGAAACTGAAAAGTAGCAAACAGCAGAAAGTCTAAAAACTAATAAAAAATGATAAATATGTCACACATACATATATTTATTAGTTTGCTGTTTGTATAATGTTGTATTCATTTTATTTATACATCTGTTTATTTAATACAATGCTTTCATCTGTTTATTTAATACGATATATTTATTCTTAACGTATTATTATATCCCCTTTTTTTCTAATTATAAAACGTCTAAAAGCTAAAGCTAAGACTAAAAGCGTCTATTACTGAGAAAATTTCAGTTAATTAGTTATATCTTGGTGTGAGACTCCTGAAGATGCTTAATAAAAAGTTATCGAAACGTACGTTGTGCTGCACTATGCCCAAGTGAGAGCGAGCGCGCAATGTCATTCTCTGTTTTTCGCACACTTTAATTATTGAACAGAGTGGCTACGCCTCCTGAGATTTTGCGTTTTTATAAAATATTCCTTAACGCAATAGTTAATAGATTAATCTTTGTTGCATGAATGCTAGAGGTATTTGTAGGCGTAATTTTGTATTTATTGTTTGTTTATGTGTGAGTGCGACGACCTTGCGACACACGTCCCGATACTAAAAGACAGTAGAAGGCATTTCTACTGTCTTATTATTTAGATTTCTTTGGGTAGAACCTACCTACCAATATAATTAATAATCTTTATTAATCGGTAGATCGGTAGAGAATCGGTAGACCCTTTTTAATAGAAACAAGACACCCTCTTAATCCTTCTTTTATTCTAAACTTTCGATTTGCCGACTATATAGTCCTTATGGCAGAATCGCAGACCTAAGCACTATGCTCAATGACCTCAATAGTGTCTCCCAACGGATAGGTCTTAAGATGAACATGAACCAAATAAAAGTTATCTATAATGTCCATGTCGCACCTATGCCCTGCTGGGACAAATAGTCTGACTAGGTAAAGAGAACAGTCTCGGATTGGGGGCGACTAAATCTAGTCTAGTTTAACCCTCAGAAGACACAAGTTTGCGCGTTAACCGCTAAAAAGAACCCCTTTATCTTATCTCCTCAGTTTCAAGGCACTACCCTCGTTGCCTCAGCCAGTATCGGAATCCTCGGCGTCAACATATCGAGCGACGTGCAGTTTCGTGGTCACTTGGAAGAGAATGCCAAATTGGCTTCTAAAAAGCTTGGCGTGCTCAGCAGAGCGGGACAGTATTTCATGCCGCCACACCGCCTGCAACTTTAAAAGGCACAGGTTTAGCCACACATAGAATACTGTCCCTATCTCTGGGCTGGGCCTCCCCAGTACCAGCTCCTTCCACTTGACGGCATCCAGTGCAGAGCGGCTCGAATCGTCGACGACCGAGTGCTTTCCGATCAGCTCGATTCACTGGCGCTGCGAAAAGATGTTGCATCTCTTTGCGTATTTTATCGCATCTATCACGGGGAGTGCTCTGAGGAATTGTTCGGATTAATCCCAGCCACCAAATTTCATGAACGCACTACGCGGCAAACCTCCCGATACCATCCACACCATCTGGATGCTTGGCGGTCCATCACTGTATGTTTCACTAGGAGTTTTCTTCCACGTACGACTTCCCTGTGGAATAATTTACTACCGGTGATTTTTCCGGACCGATACGACATTCAAGAAAAGAGATTACTCCTTTCTAAAGGGCCGGCAACGCACCTGCAATTCCTCTGGTGTTGCGGTTGGTCATGGACTGCGGTAGTCACTTAACACCAGGTGAACCGCATGCTCGTTTGCCCCCTCCTCTATAAAAAGCGACATATCTTCTCGTCAGGCATACTTAAAACCTGAAAACTAGATTGTACAACCAGTGCGTGTTGCCAGTGATGACTTATGGATCTGAGATGTGGTCATTCACTGCTGGCCGTATGAGGAAGCTCAAAGTCGCTCAGAAATCTATGGAGAGGGCCATGCTTGTGGTTTCTCCGCATGACAAGCTTAGGAATGAGGATATCCGCAGTAGAACCAGAGTGACCGACATCGCCCAACGGATTAGTAGGTCATAGTGGCAATGGGCCGGCCATATAGCTCGAAGAAGCGATAACCGATGGGAAGAAAGGATCTCGAGTGACAGCCTAGTATTGGCAGGCGAAGTATAGGGCGTTCCCTAACTAGATGGAATGACAACCCGGTAAGACATGCGGGAAGTTGATGGATGCAGTTGGCTCAGGACCGTGCTTTGTGGCATTCCTTGGGGGAGGCCCATGTTTAGCAGTGGATTTGTGAAGGGCTCTAATGATGATGACATTATATTAATATGATGCAAATATAGAATGGACGTTACGGATAGGCCTCTACCCGTAACGTCCATTCTATTTGGTTAGGTATATGTATAACATAGAATTTTTTTTCCGATATATTCTGTAACAATTTCTTGTCTCTATTGTTAGTTCCGTGGAAGTTCACTTCTGTTGTCAGCGCCCAAAACGTATAAAGAGGTCAGTAAGTCGCTTGGTTGAAGCTTCAGAAAAATAAACTTAAAATAAAACATACAAAAAAAAGATTTTTTTATTTAGAATTTAAAACGAAATTCTGGGTAATTATTGAAAAATCTTGAAAATACGTATATCTCAAGACCTGTTCATTTTTGGCTTATATATATATATATATATATATATATATATATATATATATATATATATATATATATAGGGGGTCAAATTTGTAGCCCATTGTTTGTTCCTATTAACCCCGTTTAACGTAAGTATAGTTACCAATTTATTAAGTGTAAGTGTGTCTGGCAACGGATGACGTGATTTCTAATATTACTCCGAAGAAAATGTAAGAAAATTGCGTTTTATATTTTGAGTTCCTATTTTAACACCTTTGCTACCTGCCAAATCCACCATGATGTAAACTAACCCGTCGTTCCTACCTATTTTAAGGGGAAATAGTAAAAATACTACCTCAAATGGCTTAGCAAGATCCTCCGTTATTCCGAAAATATTGCAGCATCAATTTTGAAATAAATATATGGTAAAGTTGATAAATTTTAAGTATTACGTTAGACGAAAACACGATACCGTAAAATTTTCTCGACAGAAAAGAAAATCCAAAGTTACCTCCAAACTGAACAATAAACCGCTGGTATTCATAAAATAATTTAAATTAGATCATGAAACTTTGCATACCAACTGAACTAACAAAAACAAAAGCAGGGCTTATGTTTTTTCTTTTTTTTAAATTACCATTATTTTCGCTGTAAAAAGAAATTACCTAAAGTATCGGCATCTTGAAGTTTGTTTCCTGCCGCTCGATCAGTCTCGCTTCGGCTTTCGAACGGGAAAGCTGGCTCGCTTACGATCAGAGTACACATTACGCAACAGGATGACGTAAAATTATAATGGGAAATAACCGTAATAAAAATAAGAAGCGACTAGGTTGGCGTAAAGAAACAGGAATAAAAATGGTAAACCTAATGAAATAAGTATCTAAAGACCTATCTACTCACAGTATTAGTGATTACAAACATAAGAAGCGACTAGGTTGGCGTAAAAAATAGACATAAATATGATAAACCTAATGAAATAAGTATCTAACGACCTATCTACTTGCAGTATTAGTGATTACAAACATATCGGTACATAGCATACGACGCACGGCGAAGTGGGGGCGAAATTAGAATTTGAGCTGAGGTTCTATAGCCACTTAAGGCACGGGCCCTTCCTCTATAACATTTTTACAGGGTTATACGTATGATATATAATTTAGACAGTCAATGTTAGTTCACGTGCTTGCAATCGAGTGTGAAGCAATTTAAACCGATGGCGCTGTGTGGACCTTACATTCATCGGTCAACCGTTTGTTTGACAGGTCGTGCTTAGTTTACAGTCTATGTCTGTGAGCGTCGTTCACAATGAGGCGAATTTTGAGATGCGTAATTATTTTTTTATTAGCAGACAGCAATATGGACAATTTCAGGATGCTTGCTACAGGAATGTCGACTATCGCGAAGTCGTTCGCCGAGCACGCCGTGGTCCCAGACGTCGTCCCAGTGGCCCCGACCGCTCTGTTGAAGGTTTTATTATTAATTTTTATTTTATTTATTTAATAAAATTCACAGATCTTTAAAGTTCTTTTAACTATCTTGCATATACGTCTGAATGTTACAACCAATAACGTGTGTGATATGAAATATTTTCAAAACTTCTCGCACAAAGTTTGGTTTACTTCCATGTATGTATATCCGAGGGACTAATGAATTTTGGGCATAATTTGTTGGCATTTCGGGATTCTGTTCCAGAATTCCTAAACAGAATAACGAAATGGAATTCCGTATGTATGTGGCAGGCCTTCGAGGTAAAAATGCTTACAAGAATCGACATAGTTTTGAGGAATTCGATGATACCTATAGTTTATGTCATATATTGTGGATTCCAAATTATATTGCAATACTCAAAAAAGTTCTAACAATAATACGAAATATTTAAACACATTGTATCTAAAAAGGGGCTACATTCTTTTATAATGTGCGAGCAGCTGTGCAGGTCTAGAAATAGAGACCAGTATCACTGCGACCTAAAAGCTCTATTGTGATCGCTGCTATGGATATAGTTCACTGCTAAGCCTTTAAGTTGCTTATCTGTGAGCAATTTCACTTCTTCTGGGCGGAGTACACAGTTTTCCAGATGAGTGTTGCGTTTTCGCATTAAGGGTCCGCAATCAGTTAGGATGAGATAGGCATAAGGAACAGAACCGGCATATCCTTGAGTTGTTCAATCCCAGGATGACATGTGCTTTTTAAGACAATAGTGTCAATACGATTACGTGTATTTACTCTAGATAAGAATTTTAGACGTTTCAAATTCTGGTGTTTAAGGACGGCGTTATAGATGCGAAAACAAGTTCTGTACTTCAAAAATAGAATAAATTTGCATAGCTCTCACTTCATTGAGTGGTTTTATGATAACCTTCGAATAACAATAACAAAATTCAGGTTTGTCATAAGTGTTGACACGGACCTACGCCTATATCTATTATATTTAGTACTTAAATAAAATGAGATGATACGATAGGATGTTATGATATTTCATAAAACGCTAATCTGATGTTGCATCTCTATCGCAGCTTTTTTAAGGATATATCTATACCTTAGAGGGTTAAGGATTAGTCAGAATTGCACCGATTATTGTCATTCGTCGCTACATAGACTCCTTCCTTTCTTTTTTGTCATCAAACAGCTGCTTTGTCAGTCTCCCCCTTTCGTTGTCGACTTACCACGCTACTTCCTTTGCATCATTGTTGGTTATGCGTTCAGTGAAGGAGTGAATTAAGTTGTCAGCATCTGTCTTTTCATCCGATTACAATGTAGGTGTCTTCAAAGCAACAGTGAATAGGTTTTTGTTAAGTCAGTCCATTTTACCACCTTCGGCTGTACTTGCTATCAGGTAGGATAGCATTCGAGCTCTGGCTTAGAATAGTAAAACATAAGAGTCCTGAGTACGCCTTGAATGAACACAGACCATCCGCTACCAGCTATCAACTTCCCTCTATCCTTCACAACAAAACTGCGTCGAGATACCGGATTCACCTACCTCCACTATATTGAATCTTCCCAGAGACTCGAAAAGCGTACTCAAAAGTATCGGTCTTTCTGGACTCCGGGAATGATTTAGTCAGTGTTACCGACTGCATATCGACAAAATGCCCCCTAACTACACCATTACCGCTTCGTAGACAAGTCCCGTTTCTGAGCGGCCATGTAGAGCCGCCTCCACCAATTTCTCACCACCAAAGTCATTTGGGATATTGTAATATGGGTAATCAAGTTAAGCAGCCACTAAGCCGAATTGAAATTATTAAGAATTAGCCCATATTTTATCCTATTAGCATTCGGAAGTTGTTACCATGAAAAACCGGAATAGAAAAACAATCCTGTTTAGTAATTATTAAAGTTAATAATAGTTGATGCTGATGGATTATAATTTAATATGACCTATTATACCTTCACGGCAATGGAATTTTATTAACAGGCGGTAATACTAAATAATACATGGAGAACGTTTATTTGCCAGCAATTTTATGAATGAAATAATTTTGTGATTTTACATAGCATAACATATCATTCTAGTTGATGTACTATGTAGTATCGGAACAACTCATAACAAAAAAGAAAGGTTCACACGACTAACTTTCCAGTGGATAGAATAAAAAAATCACGTTTTAATATTTTATACAAATTTTCATTCGGCACAAAAATCGACGACCAATTTTGCTCAAAATTTAATGCGGTCTAAGTTACATAATTATGCGTTAAATGAAACTGGTCCCATGTCAATATCACTCTTTGTTCTCTAGATAGAAGAGGCGAAAATTAAATCCGAACATACTCGTAAATACGTACATTTGCGCACACGAACATCCTCTTAAAAACCATACTATTCGACTCTAAATATCTTTAAACGTGGAGGTATGTTAAAATTTCCAATTTGAATTACGACCCATTAAAATAACTTCCCACTGGGAAGTAAATGATTAGGTAAGGGCGTTTGCACATGATTTTCTGTTCTTGAGTTGAAGCGCTAACTAATACCTCACCCACGCTTTCAAAATCTACACTTTTTCTACTTTTGTAACTGGTGCTGTCTTGATAGACGCCAACTTACTGCGTCTGACGAGACTGTGCCAAACACCACTCTGTTGATTAGATTTTGATTTGATTTGATAGGTTTTTAATCAAGGATAGATGTGTCTATGGCCTTCGACATCCACTTAACAGGTAGACTGTGTGCTCGTTTATATCACCCTTTTCTAAATAAATTTGTTCGTACATAAAACGATAATTTTCGGAATAAAGAAATTTTAGTACGAAATAAAAATATTTATCGGATGTATTACATATGCTATATCAAATATTTTGGTATCTATAATACTGTGTGAACCTTTGAACGTGTTCGCAATGTAGTTTTATTGTGTATAACGCACTATTTGCGTTTGAAAAAGTTATTGTGTTAAAAAACCCTAACACTTTGTACTCGTAATTCGAAATGCGCCATTAACACTTTAAAATTACCGTAATAGTTGTAATTGATCTCAATTTGAAGGATTATTATGGTTATGAAAATTTAGCATCTGTGCTGGAGGCAATACCCATTCTTTATATTTTGGATAATAATTCTACATATATCCGTTACTAGCTTTTGCCCGCGACTTCGTCCGCGTGGAGTTAGGTAATATCGCGCCCATGTGTGAAAAAGAGTTCGCTGGTACAAGCCACAATTATAACTGGATGTTGCGGGCAAAAGCTAGTAAACTACAAAACTTCTTTATACACCACATTTTTTGCTAATCTATTATTGTGTGCCAAAATTATCACACTACTGGGCAAGCTTACGCGTGAGCAAGTCACATAGAATTGTCCGTGTGAAAAAGAATTTTCTCTCAAGTCTATACCCGCAAATTTTAATGTCTGCCCTTGTGATTGGTTTATGGTCATTGCAAAGCAGACTTTGAGCGGAAACTGTATTTGTTTGAATTCAAAGGGATTCTTGGTACAAATAGAGTTTCCTCTTGAGCACATTCTGTTATAATTGTGGCTTCCACTACATTGCGATGTAACGATTTTACTTTGAGGAGGTTTTAAATTTTGAAGCAACATAAAGGAGTGCACACGCGCAGAATAAGCTTATGGTGTGGAAGACCTGATTGTTCTAGTGAATTAAGAAATTTAACAGGGTATTTAATTGCGTCATCTGTGTTGACCACAAAGTCTATTGACGTTTTCACCATTTCTTCCCCCTCAAAGGGCGTTAACAATATATCGTTAATTGCCGCTGCTTGGTCATTTTTCGGGGTTAGTATGGCATATTCACACAACCATTCTACAGGCTTATCGTAGATATGAGCATCATTTATCGGGTAATCACCGTTGCCGATTTCAAGTAGGAGATTCGCAAATCCACCAGCAGACTCTTTTTCTCCTATGTGTACCCGCATATTTTTCGAGAGCTGGAGGATTTTAATTAGAGGCCATAAGGTGGATCTCTTAAGACACGCCTTAACTTTATGTGCTCTAATTCCTTTTGGCACTATTGGTAGAGTCTGTCTAAAATCTCCAGCCAGCAAAACCGTTACACCACCCATTAACTACTTATTTCCTCTTATATCTTGTATAGTTCTGTTTAAAGCCTCTACGCCACCCTTATGAGCCATGGTTATTTATCCCACACTATCATTTGCGTATGTTTTAATACTTCAGCAAAATTACTTTGTTTCGATATATTACAGGGGGGCGGGGGGTTATCAGCTGTTGTTAAATTGAGTGGTAACTTGAAGGTAGCATGAGCAATTCGTCCACCGTCAAGCAGTGTAGCTGCGATCCCAGCAGATGCCACAGCCAAAACAATTCTGTGAGTACTTCTAACTTTTGCTAATAGAAAATTTATGACGAATGTTTTGCCTGTTCCACCGGGAGCATCTGAAAAGAATATTCCACCCTCATTTGATTAAATTTTTATTGAATTTGATTGTAAACTGCTTTTTTTTTGTCATTCATTGACCCTTAATTATTTTTAACTGTGTTTTCTAATGATGCTAAGTTGTAACTTGTATCTTTAATAAACTGTCTATTTTCAAATTGTTGTTATTTGCTTAGCTGAGGTAGCCCATACTCTTTTAGTAGCCGATCATGCAACGCTAATACGGTATCGTCTATTACTGAAAGGCATTTGTTAAATACCACATTTGTTATGTGCTCTACATACACATCTCCCTGTCTTTCTAATTGCCTTTTAAAATCTTCAGATAGGTATTCTTTGAATTTCTCCCAAGGGCTTAAAGGGTCTGATACTTGGCAGAACACTAAAATAATCGTAAAAAGATCCCGAATCATTTGCGGTGATTGGCAAGTATTGCCCCTTTTATTGCTGCGAACAAATGCTGATCATCTTTAAGCAAGCTGAGAGCTTTGCACGCTGATTGGAACGTGGAATATACAGGACCGACTACAGTTTTTAACGCTTCAAACGAAATTGGGCCCCAAATCTCATGAAGAAGCACGCGAAAGTGATAACATTCTGT